GTACTGACATGTCTTGTACGTGTTGTACGTGTACATAAAATTTAAAGTCCACCTCATGTTTTGTGTGAACACAATAAGGATAGAGGATGCCGTATGCTCTACAGTTTTAAAAGCCCTTTGATTTTGTGACTTTTTTGGAGCTTAACACCTATGCACCGGAAGTTTGGCACATTTCCTTAAATTGAAATTGGGGTTTTGTAGAAAAACAGGTTCACTGCCTTCAAACTCAGGCATTGGAAAAATTATTATTTTGTATCATGCGAAAATTTGGCTATATTTATTGGCACAAGTAAAGAAAAATTTCAAAGGACATCCTATCCTATTTCTATAACATTTGCTCCAAAGAAACAAATAAAGGAAGGATTATGTGTGCTCTTTTGCCAAAAAGTCACGATATAATGCTAAAAACAATCATAGTCTCTTACTGTATATAATACTGAGCTCAGTATGCTAAACATTTGGTCAACTTTCTGCCTATTAATGTACCCCTGATAAGTCAAAAATATATCTTGATTTAGTCTCCGATTGGCATGCTTTAGTTTACAAAGTGATCTTTAGTCAGAAACCAAGGTTGAACAGACCGTGTTGAAACGTTCAGGGCTAAAACACTGCTGTCTGTCAGCCAGCTGCCATTAATTTCACTTTTTCTTCAGACTCATCTTTCTTCATAATGGTTCACTCATTACTTCCAATAGGTGCTGCAGATTTATGCTTTGGCTTGGCTCTAGCTTAGGCTGCACTTTGCCAGGAAGACAGCTGGTAATACTTTAATATATAGACACAAAGGCATCATCATTATTCAGCAGAATTAAATGCTATGATTTTTCCCCCCTCTCACACCTACAGATACTCCAGCTGTCCATCTGTACATCTGGAAATAATAGCTGACTCTAGCTGTGTCGGAAATCGCTCCCTTGTTCCCTCATTCATTAGTACAAACATAGGAAACACTCTGCAGGGTGCTGTTGGACACCTTGAGATACTTTTAAATCACCATTTTGCTTCACCACTGTCTTACTAATTTACACCATAACTTAGTTCAAAATTGCTCCCATGATTTCTACTTCCTGGATCTTGGCTTAGAATCAACTTATTTTAATGTTAAGTCAAAGTTTGTGTGCTTAAAATATCAGTAGAATAATATCATATTCCAGTAAGTGTGAGAGGGAACTTGAATGGAACATTTTATATGGGAATATATCTTTCTCTGACCATTCTCAGTCAAGGCTTTGGAATTCCTGGATGGTTTGGTTTAGCAACCCCTTCGACTCCTGACTTAGGCCCAATCCCAAAACACCCCTTGCCCCCAACACTTAGCCCTTACTCTTCCATATTGCATGTTCACATCTAGTGGTAGGGTGTCCTGATTCTTGCTGGGATAGAGGGCAGAGTGTTACGCTGGATTTCCACTGGATGCGTGTCCGTTGCGGAACGGCAGCGCTGGTTATCCGCTGCGTGCTCCGCCGTCCGTCAATACCCACCGGCTGCGTTTGCTGCGCGGAGCGGTACAGCTCCGCCGGAAGACATCTCGGTGCACTGCCATGATTAATATCTCCTCGTCCATGGTCAGCGGGGTGAAATGACGTCTGAAAACCTCTGACCTGTTGACTTTAGGCCTGCCTCTGCCCATTATGTAGCTTTTAAGGTGTAGTGCAGGGAAATATGATCCGCCGTGAACACTGTGTATTTTATTTTGAAAATTAACCGGATGTTTTATTTTGTTTCTGTGCATGACTTCCTGCCCTGCATTATCTGCTCTTTGCTGAATTGTTGCTTTGTGCTCCGGCGTCCGGCAAAAATAGAAGTCCTGCGTATCTGTTGCGGAGGGCTTCGGAGTGCCGGAGCTGAGACGGAGCCGGAACGCAGCACAGCCGCAGCCGGTGGAAACACACACATTGACTAGAATTGAATCCTATCGGCTCCACTGCCGTGCCGGAGCGGAGACGCAGCCAACACGCATCTGGTGGAAATTGGCCTTTAGGGCTACATGGCCCTCCAGACAGAAGTTTTTCAGAGGCACACTTCAAATTGAGTGTTAATACACTCACTGTTTCTTATAACAAGCGAAACAAAAGAAATAGCTAGTATGCCGATGTCTCAGTAGTTAGCTAGTTAGCTAGCTAGCTAGCTAATGTTACATGTTTGTTGCTGATTTGAGCATGAGATTCCCATATTTTGAAATATTTTGAAGTTGCATTCCCCCCCTTTGATGGCATACAATGCCCAAAATTGGACTTAAGTCCAGTAGTGAAGTTGCTGCACTAGTTACCGCTCCTCTAAAATCAGTACAGACTGGGAGGGTAGGAGCATAGTTTGCAAACATTGACCTACAGAGCATTGATAATTGGCCTGGTAATGAACTAGTGTTCTTTTTTTATTTGATGACTTGTTTGATAGATTGATAGGCTGAAACATAAGTCGTGAACAAATCGCGAGTGTCCTAACAACCGCAAAAGGATGCCTATAGCCCACGCAAGTGAAATCACCACAGCAGAGGATGACATATTTGCAAAATCATGCCAGCATGGATGACTACTGATTATGTATCAGGGTCTTGAAGGGTTGTCCCAGTTCTTAGGGGAAGATATCAACCACTACACCTTGTAACTCTGTTCCGAGAGGCAAAGGGGCACTGGAAGACAAGATGTAGGGGTAAAAATATTAAATCAGATTGTGCCTTACTGTGTATTTACTAAGGGACGGTTTCCAGCTACAGAATATATCATCAGTACACCACGGTGATGGTGCTAGCAGGCACATGTACCATGTCCACCTAAGCCTGACCCTAGAAAAAAACAGTAGAAGAGAATGACATCTTGTGAATTTAGCCTCAGTGGAATTAAAGGTCTATTTTTTGGACCATGTCTTTTAGTGATATCTCTTCCTGTGACCCTGACATTCAGGGTTGGACGGATGATTGAAAGTGCTGCAAAGGCTTCTCAGAGTGCCAAGTTTCTAGCTTTCTTTTTATTACAGATTTTATGCTTGTTCTTCATAATTGCTGAAATTATTTTTTGCAGTGTTAAAAGATTTTTCCCGGCACTAAGAGAGTCACTTTGGAAACCCCAAAGTCTAAGATATGCTTTTAGTGTTGAGTAGCTGTCTTTATGTCCAACCTTTTTTTCTATATGTTTTACATGTCTCTAACTTAATGTCTTGCAAGATCACGAATCCTTATTGCACATATTCTCATAATCACATACTCTCAAAATATTTATTGTGAACATTTGCAAACTCCTTAGTCAGTATGTTGCACAATCCATCCTTGTTATCATAAACACTGCACAGCTCTCTGCATTTTTAAACAGATATACTTTACACAATGTGGAGTTTATATGTTCTCCCCATGTCAGTGTGGGTTTTCTCTGGGTATTCTGTCTTCCTCCCACAGTCCAAAGACATGCATGTTAAGTTAACTGATAATTCTAAATTGGCCGTAGGTGTGAATGTGAGTGTGAATTGTTGTCTCTCTCTATGTGTCAGCCCTGTGATAGTCTGGCGACCTGTCCAGGGTGTACCCCGCCTCTCGCCCAATGTCAGCTGGGATAGGCTCCAGCCCCCCGCGACCCCAACAGGATAAGCGGTCAAGAAAAATGAATTAATGAATATATTTTTTGTGTTTTTATTGTACATTTCTATTTTATACTTAAATAATAAATTAATAAAATTATCTCTTTTTCTATATTTGCCTTGACCGTTATGACCCAAAATACTGAGGCAAATTCCTTGTATGTGAAACCCATTGAGCAGTAAACCTGATTCTGATTCCAACACTGAACTGCAGTCCTATTCTGTCCTCACAGAGCTGTGTATGATGTAAGTGTGTGTGTCTAGACTGGTCCCTGTTTGAAACCCTGCAGTCTGCTCCTCAGATGAAATGGTACACAAGTGACTACCCCTGAGATCACATGCCACTCAAAGTGTGCAGTCCGGCCTGAGAGCATCAGGAGGAGGAGGAGGAGGAGGAGGAGGGGAGCTGATGGAATTGCAGCTACAGTAGCTGAGCCACTGCCTCTGATTGCAGCTCTTGATAAAGAAAAGTATCTGATAGGCAATCAGAGCTGTGGCCTGAGAGGATTTGAACATTTTTGGTGGACTATGGATTGGTCCACCTGTTTATCTGTTCACCTATCTTTCAGAGGGCTGATGGGATTTTGACAGCAGATGCGTCTCCACTGGCGCTTCAAAACGACATGTCAGGGCAGTGAAAACAGAGCTGCAGGATAAAATGAACATGGGTCAAACAAACACACCAAAGTGGGATAAAACCACAGTGTTGAAGGCAAGGGGAGGTGTCTATCCAATTTATTGAAAAAAAGAAGAAGAAATAGTAACTATCCCAATTTCCTGGAGCCCACGGCACAGCACTCAAATAACTTAAATTGTGCGACCAACAGTCCAGAATCCAAAGATACTCAGTTTATATTGATGTAACACAGAGGAAAGGAGCAAATTATCACATTTAACAAGCTAAAACCAACAAATGTTTGACATTTTTTAACAAAAAACAACTAACACAATTGATTTATTATTAAAGTAATTTTCTGTCATTACACAAACTGATTAATAAACTGTTTCAGCTCTAATAATAGTCATATAACACACCAGCATATGGCCCAGAGAATTACCATAACCTTGATTTAATGCATGTCTTACACAGTCTAAGAAACCTTTGATTAAAAACTAGAAGTATCTCAAAGGTAAGGTTGTACAGATGTTCATAATGTTCATCGCCTGTAAATCAAATTGACAAGCCCTGACATTTACAGCATCATTTGCGGAGGGTGACATTTTACTGTTATTGCCTCGGTTTCTCAGTGTTACCGCTCTTATTATTGGATAGTAAAGGAAGGTCCTGACTGAAAGCCTGCTTACATGACCATGAGTTTGGTTCATTTCCATCATCCCTTTCTGTGATAATTAAAGCCAGATGTTAAGATGTTTTTTGTCTTATAGAACAGTGATAGTAATCAACTCTTCCTCTCTGTCCCTTCCTGCAGAGCGTCTTCACTGTTCTGTTGGGGCCTTTTACCTTCTTCAACGCCCAGAAGACCAAATATCTTCAGATTCTCACCTCACTTATGCGATGGATTGGTAAGAATAAACTAATAACACAATATTTACTCACAAACCCTGATTCTTCAAATGTGGGATTTTTCTTTGCCTTTTACCGTTCTCCCCTTTTTCCAATTCAGTTTGGTTTCTTCCAGCCCTCACTTTCTGCCTCCTCCTTTCTCCGCCAACACATATTTCCATTTTCTCTGTGTCTCCCCCCCGTTTCTTTCATCCCTACCTCTCTCCCTCCCTCCTGCCCTCGCCTGCGTGGCTGCTGTGCTCAGGTCTGTCCATCATGGTTCGGTCCTGCTCTGTGTCTTTGATTCCCATCTCCTCTCATTCCTCAGCCTGACAGGCTTGACAGCCCGTCCCAAGCTTGATTGGACCGTCACTCACAGGGCGACGGGCGAAAATAAACCGCCCGTCCTGGGCCCCGCTGTTAAAATCACAACACCACTGAATCATGGCACTCCCGCCACCCCCACACAGCGGCTTGCTAGCTCACATAAACAACACACAAACACAGCAGCATCCACATGCTGTCCACTGGCTGGCTGGCTGAGTAACACAGGGGTTATTTAGCTGTACCTTTCACTCTTCTTCCCTTGTCTGCACCCTCCCTTAGCGTGTTATTCATTTGACTGGTTTTGTCGCTTTTGCAGGGCTCTTTACAACCCTGGCTAATGATTCAAAATGGCTCCAGTCAAAGCTTTGTACTTCCTCCATATTTTTGAGCAATAACGTGTGGAAGAGGACACTAAGAGGTCCAGCAGCCGATAAAATACGATTTTGATTTTAAAATCAAAAATAAAATCAACGTTAATTTCAGTTATGATATAGATAAATGAAGCCCATGATTCCCTCAGTAACATACTCACCCTTGAGGCATGACATATTTAGTATCACCAGTGATCCCAAAAGAAGTTAAAAAGAAATGCATCATACAAACTTTCCTTTTGTGGTTGTACTGAGTGAACCATACAGTGAATACAGGACTAGGTCTACATTGATGCTGTTGAGACACTCTCTCTTTTCAGATACATATATACAGTACAGGCCAAAAGTTTGGACACACCTTCTCATTCAATGCGTTTTCTTTATTTTCATGACTATTTACATTGTAGATTCTCACTGAAGGCATCAAAACTATGAATGAACACATGTGGAGTTATGTACTTAACAAAAAAAGGTGAAATAACTGAAAACATGTTTTATATTCTAGTTTCTTCAAAATAGCCACCCTTTGCTCTGATTACTGCTTTGCACACTCTTGGCATTCTCTCCATGAGCTTCAAGAGGTAGTCACCTGAAATGGTTTTCCAACAGTCTTGAAGGAGTTCCCAGAGGTGTTTAGCACTTGTTGGCCCCTTTGCCTTCACTCTGCAGTCCAGCTCACCCCAAACCATCTCGATTGGGTTCAGGTCCGGTGACTGTGGAGGCCAGGTCATCTGCCGCAGCACTCCATCACTCTCCTTCTTGGTCAGATAGCCCTTACACAGCCTGGAGGTGTGTTTGGGGTCATTGTCCTGTTGAAAAATAAATGATCGTCCAACTAAACGCAAACCGGATGGGATGGCATGTCGCTGCAGGATGCTGTGGTAGCCATGCTGGTTCAGTGTGCCTTCAATTTTGAATAAATCCCCAACAGTGTCACCAGCAAAACACCCCCACACCATCACACCTCCTCCTCCATGCTTCACAGTGGGAACCAGGCATGTGGAATCCATCCGTTCACCTTTTCTGCGTCTCACAAAGACACGACGGTTGGAACCAAAGATCTCAAATTTGGACTCATCAGACCAAAGCACAGATTTCCACTGGTCTAATGTCCATTCCTTGTGTTTCTTGGCCCAAACAAATCTCTTCTGCTTGTTGCCTCTCCTTAGCAGTGGTTTCCTAGCAGCTATTTGACCATGAAGGCCTGATTCGCACAGTCTCCTCTTAACAGTTGTTCTAGAGATGGGTCTGCTGCTAGAACTCTGTGTGGCATTCATCTGGTCTCTGATCTGAGCTGCTGTTAACTTGCGATTTCTGAGGCTGGTGACTCGGATGAACTTATCCTCAGAAGCAGAGGTGACTCTTGGTCTTCCTTTCCTGGGTCGGTCCTCATGTGTGCCAGTTTCCTTGTAGCGCTTGATGGTTTTTGCGACTCCACTTGGGGACACATTTAAAGTTTTTGCAATTTTCCGGACTGACTGACCTTCATTTCTTAAAGTAATGATGGCCACTGGTTTTTCTTTAGTTAGCTGATTGGTTCTTGCCATAATATGAATTTTAACAGTTGTCCAATAGGGCTGTCGGCTGTGTATTAACCTGACTTCTGCACAACACAACTGATGGTCCCAACCCCATTGATAAATCAAGAAATTCCACTAATTAACCCTGATAAGGCACACCTGTGAAGTGGAAACCATTTCAGGTGACTACCTCTTGAAGCTCATGGAGAGAATGCCAAGAGTGTGCAAAGCAGTAATCAGAGCAAAGGGTGGCTATTTTGAAGAAACTAGAATATAAAACATGTTTTCAGTTATTTCACCTTTTTTTGTTAAGTACATAACTCCACATGTGTTCATTCATAGTTTTGATGCCTTCAGTGAGAATCTACAATGTAAATAGTCATGAAAATAAAGAAAACGCATTGAATGAGAAGGTGTGTCCAAACTTTTGGCCTGTACTGTATGTGTGTTGGTCTTTGACAGCTACAAGGTGTTTGGTTTGATGTAAAGCTGCGTTCTGCTCTAAAAAGCACTGTAACACACAGGAGCAAGTGGCTACAGTATCCCACAGTGCTCTCCTGTTTACATGTGGATCACAAACTGTGCCTTTAAATCAAATGTTTGGCAGTCAGAGGTGTGTTTACAGGTGTTTTATTGCAGCTTCAAACAATGTAATACTCCACTTTAGATCTGCCTTATCCTCTGCAGGCTTGAGAGGTGGTTGTGAAAGATTTTTAGTTTCCCGATGGCTGTCAGATGACTCGTGATTTTAAGTTGATCACAGCCAGCGTTCTCTAAATGAGGAAACTGCTAAATCTGCGTTGAGTATCACTTAATATAGCTCATTTATCTACTCAACTCAGTTTAGTTATTTTCTGTGCCTGAGTCTCAGGATCTGTTTTATTTGGAACACCCTACAGACATGTGACCCCACCTCCCCTCCTGACCATTACTCACCACTTCCTGGATACACCTGCAGTCACCTGTGCTGCCCTGTGAGGGGACATGGTGTGCTGGATGTCGGGGTTAGCAGCTGGCTGGTGTGCTGGGGCCCTGCCTCGTGCCCTCAGCTCTGGCCTTGTCACAATCGTTGCTACTCAACTGTAGTCACCTTCTTGTCCAGCGAGCCCTGTTTTTTACACCAAACATGAGTGATGGTGTGGCTGCCTGCTGCTGTGCTGCCTCAAACATGCTGTGATTTTCAATGGAGTAGCCATTAGCCTCAGTCAGTGTGACACCTACAACCCAGAACTCCAGTCCCTTTTTTCCCCCCTGCCGTGACACTTGATTGTTCCTAAATTAAAATGGAAAGGGGTGCAGAGGGCAGAGTGTGGGCTCAGGCCATCTGTACGCATTTTGTTTGGTCACTGAGACGTCTTAAGCTGTACAAATATATTTCTGAGAAAAACTAGAGATTGATGCATTCAACTATTTTGCCATTTTCAACACCCGATGGGAAATGAGTTGACCTGAGGGTGTTACTTCATATATCCGAGACAGTTGTTTACCGACTGCACACAGAATAATGCCTCTAACATGTTCTGGCATATTTGAAACAAAACTCATAGTTACAAGGAGCGTGCTACTCTTCAGGGCAAAGTGACAAGTGTCATAGTGTTCAAGTGACATTTGTTCCCAAAAGGCCGAGAGAGGCATTCTGTTGTGTTCTTACTTTTAGGTTAAGTTTAACTGAATTTAGAAGTTATTAAAAAAAAAAAAAACACACATACACAAAACAGTACAACCAGATTATGACAACATGACAACCACATGTGAAGTCTTTGTTTAAAGGATACTTTGCAGGTTTTCAACTAGCTTTGTATCTTAACAGTGTTGGCAGTATGTGTAAATGAAACGTGGTAAACGTCCATCCAGCTTACCAGCATTCAGATCTACCTGCGCTCACCTCCCAGCTTAAATTTCAGAAACATATTTTAGCGCACTATTTGGCTGAACTACAAGCATTTGTGAACAGGAAGTGGGCGCCTAAAATGTTTTCACAAACATATTTTAGCTTATTGTACAACTGTAATATGAGACTGTTTGTCACCAGTTGGCCACCATATTGTTTACTGTGTCAGAGCGGCCAATCTCCCATTATGTCACCCACCAGTAGGAGCATTGAGCACTTTGTTATGTAACTCATAATGTCATAATTCTCCTCTCTGAATAGCAACTTATGGGGCATACATGTGACTTTAGGGGGTTAGGATGCCGACCATGAGCTGAAACGCCATGGTTCAAGTCCGGGGACCTTTGTTTCATTTCCTCCCCTCCCTGCTTCCTCTCCTGTTTCTCCTTTCTGTAGTAAAGGCAGAGAAATAACAGAAAAAACAGATAAATAAAGAGAAACATAACACCCCTTTTTACCTTAAACAAGCCCCCCTTCTTCCTTCTGTACATTTGGATCAGATATACTGAAAGACTCCATCCACTCCAGCCAGTCATCATTCATTTCCGGTCAAAATTTCAAGAGCTTGTTAACCTTTATGTCTATCTTTTTCAGCACCGCGTAGTAACAGACGAATGCAGCTGCATATAACATGCATCATTACTCACTGAAGCACATTAACCTTTTTGATGGAGCATTATTTGCCAGTGACATTTGTGAATTTAAACAAAACCATGTAACACTGCATTGAGATGTGGTTGTTGACATTGGCGCTGTTATTAATGTTACCGGTCTGTTATTGCACTCCCTAAATGGAAAGCCAGTATTTGGGAGTAGGTGTAGTTTATTGGGCTTTTACAGTATATTTCAAATACATCATATTTGTCACAATCATGTGGTGGCACAGAAATCTTCTGTGCACTGAAAAATAA